GAATCGGTTTCGTTTACATTGAATACTCATCCAAAGGTTGAATGAAGGAGACATCCTGTCTTGTCTACGTGCTATCCCAAAAATAAACAAATAAGAAGGCACTTGGTGCTTGTATGGACGCAATATACTACTCATTAGGTTGCTGAAAACGCTTCGATAGCCCACGACCGATTTCTCCCATTTTGGAGCTCACCAGGTAGGCCCAGTTCCCAAGTTTTCGTCAGCCTTATGTTCTACTTGAACTCAAATTGCACAAAATTTGACCTATAAAGGAAACTCACCTGGAACCCAGCCGAATCTCCTGTTTATGATGTTCTTATGCTGAGTTCCAGGTGAGTCTTTCGCCACTACCTAAAAAAACAGATGTGTTTATTATCGAGTCTTTTGCCGGTAACTGATGATTAGTAATCGATTTCCCACACCTTCTGCGAAAGTGAAATTTCGGCACCTCTAAGTATGAATGAACGCAATTCACGTCGATCGATTGCGTCAGAAAACGGACTGTACTGTTTGCGTCACTTGACACATGCTGCCCACCCTGTTTGACTATTTTTAGAACCTACCTCGTGCCGTGAAACTGCTGACAAAATGAAACTTCATGTCATCCATTTAGAGTTAAAACAAAGGCTGTGTGGATGCCTTTTTTCACCTAGTTCGGTGAAAAGATATTCTCGCCTTGAAGAATGTCTGATGTTTGTGCCCATCTGCTGTACAACCACAGTCGGTCAGCCCATCGCATAGGTCCTCGTTTATCCACAAAATTTTTGACTGTGGATTTTTTCAGACAATAGCCATAATACTTGACAGTTTCGAGTAAATATCAGGGGCGTTCTGAGCACCATAATATCTGTGTAAATTGGATGTGCTTGGCAATTTACATCCGAATCCCCCAAGGGGGAAATAAAACCCCTAAATGCCTGAAAACGTTACAAATGTCGACTGCACCTAATTGCACTTTGTTAGTATCAAGCATCTACAAATTTGGACGACCGTTGCTCTTCACCTGTTGACTGGCCATCAATCTTTGCATATTACGGTGTATCCTCAGTGTACGCAGCGTGTGTTCTAGAAACCATACAACCATACAACCAACCATTTGAAGGCATCACCTGCCCTGGTTTCATTAGTTCCGGTATTGTTCCTTTGTTCTGATCGAATTCGAAGGATATGAACAAAAAAAACTGAAGTGGTTTATGCATCATAATTACTGTTTCGTCAGCTGCTACCCCTCTATAATGGCCACTGCTCCAGTGGGATACACCGATGCGTGCATTCGTGACAGCTGTAAGACAGACTGCCAAAGCTGGAGACGGGTTGTCAACACCGGCGCAAGTAAATATATAAAAAAATAAATCGTTCAGCTGTAACAACCTTTCACTGCCCAACTGCCATGCCACCCGGAGGAAGCCCGAGAGCTGGGATACTGCCAGGTTGCCCAAGTCTATACAGGGGGAAATCGAGATGCATAGGTCGGGTTCGAACCACGGACCTTTCGGTCAGTAAATTCGCGCTCTAACCACTTCGGCCATCTAGCTCCTTGCGCAAGTGACAGTCATGAAATAGAGTACCCTAAGTAGTACACGTTTTTGACTCGCTTCTGTAGACATTCAAGCTTAATAATTTACAGTTGAGTTTGTAATTCATCACCTGGAAGTCCATGGCGCCCCAAACGAAGAAGAAACGCACGGTCGGAGATGGGATTGAGAGGAGTTCATCCAAACTATTTACATTCAGTCGACCAAAATGTCTAAAAGCTCACAAAAGAGGAAGGATTTATCATCTCTGGACATTTGATTCACCATCAGCAGGCCACCAAGACTTTATTTCCTCCTGCGGGTTGGAGTTTGGTAGCAGGAGACCACTGTGCGAAATTTGACGACCCTTTCAACACACGGATGAGTGTGGATCATACCAGTTATAACCTTTGCAAACTAAATATTTTGTGGGAAAATATCGGGGGAGGAAAAGGTATAAATGTAATACTGGAGGCGTGCATTTTGGGGTCGCAGGCGAACAACCGAGATCCCTTTGCTCTATCCGTGCACAAACTAAGTTCATTTTCATAAAGGAAACTACTCATAAGGTTGCTGAAAACTCTTCGACAGCCCACGACCGGTTTTGTCCTTCTTGGGACTCAGCATAAACGAGAGATTAGAGTTGAGTCTCTCGTGAAAGCCAAATTGATTTGCAAATGAATGTGTTTCTCGAAGTTCCTTTTTAGTTTGGCTGGACTAGAGATTGGTGGTTCTGGTTAAGCTTCGGCAACAAAACTTCTATTTTAAGGTTTACCACTTTTCCAGTCGTCCCTAAAATCTACTGAATGTGTCGGGATGTAAAGATGTTTACGGTGACTCCGGTAAAAGCCTAAATATCTACTCAGCTTATATGAATGTATGTATGTGATCTCTTCCGTCGACAGATTCCCATTCTAGACTTCCCTCCCGTTTGGTGTTTGAAAAATCGAGCATTGGTCGGCGACGAGTTATCTCACAACCACCACAGTGAACCCTCCAAAGTGGTCAGGATATCGATTTTTTAAGACTCCACAGCAAAGGACAAAAAGTTTATCCGTTCCGTACAACAGATGTCTTACAGATGGCCAGTCATAAGAATAGTATCACAGTCTCGCACGGCACAGATGCTATGCTCATTAGATTGCTACGGCGTAATTTGCACATTCGCATGCAGGGAAGCGCCGCTACCATTTGCTTCACTGTGGTGGGGCACTAGTGATTGCTATTTTGAACACCTCTTCTGTGCCAGCCGCTATTTGTTTCCCATCGGTTTCACTTTTTATCCGGCTAACCGAAACTTTGGTAAGCAGTACTTATCTGAGTGCGCGGTAAAATGTTCGCGCACTCTTCAATTCCGGTTTGGTAAACACGACAATATTTGGTGATATTGTGCCAGGGCATGTGATGTTGTGAGCCTAGGAGACGAAAAACATGATTGCTGCCTAATTCGCTAAATAAATTCAGCGCACGGAACTGTTTCCATTGTAAATTGACCCAATTATTCTTTCATTATATCATTGTAATGTACTACTCATAAGGTTGCTGAAAATCCGTCGAAAGCAACCTTATGAGTAGTATACTACACAGATATACATGTATCGCGATGTCTCGAATAGCGACTGAAACATGAGGCGGCCTGTTGCAGCACATTCAGTCGTCTGGGAACATCACAATCGAGAGATTCAGCTGAGTCCTGGGTGAGTCTTTCGGAAAACCAAATTTGTTTGCAAATGAGTGTATATTCGCTAATATTCTTTCATTATGTTTAACGGACAAGAAAACGAAAGATTTGCACAACCCGTAAGAGTTGATCGAACCTCCGACAATTATTTGAACTAAAAACAATGTGTTCGTTTTCTCTTCAACGGTCTTGTGATTACTACACTGCTAAACGTATATTTTACGGTCATCAAATGACCTAGTTGGGTTGGATAGTTTCCGCTTCTATCACAAACACTGTCAAAGGTCGAAGCTCTCGTTGGGACGAGTACTATCGCCTCGTGTGGTTTTCACGGCCAAGTCGACGTGTACACATGGGCCGCCGATAACGGTTGGAGTATGCAAAAGCCGCCAGGCGCAAACTTCGCGAAGAAAGCTCTTCCAGTCAACAACGGTCGTGTGGTTAATCGATAATTCCTCTGAGCAGAATTTGATTTTTGCCAAACTTTGGACCAGCAATAAATGAATAGAATTACTGTCCTAAACTCCATCCTAGATCACTCCAGCCAGGTTCTCTTTCGAAGACCGATTTCTTACCGACACTGTCCGGTATTACACCACCTGTCAGAAACAGTTGAAAGTGTCATTTGGTGGCCAGTGGTGCATAAACGTTACTGATGGATCACTCCATGGCTTTGCAAAAAACCTATTGTCGTCTGCTTGTCATGAACGAGAGTTGGAAGCATCAGAAAGTTCACTTGAGGTTTTACCTCCGAACGGATAAAATTTTTGCACAAAATGAGCCTAGATGGGGATAGGGAATTGTTTTCATGAAAAATAGGTCAAGGTTATGTGCGTACATTAAATTGGAGCTGGCAAAACGTGGCGGGGCTTAACTTTTTGAATATGCAATTTTTGCACTGGGGGGGGGGGGCTTATCTGGAAAAGACCCAAAACACCTGATTGCTTAAAGTCAGAGTGTAGTCAATATCAGAATGGATAAGTTGTACAAAAGGAACTCAGGTATCTACAAACCCCAGACTGGATCCGTTCTTGAGCTGAGTTGAGGAGTTCCAATCTCGTTAATCTCCGCCTTTCATGTTACTTTTCTGTGGTGTTTAAATTCTCTCTCCAAATTCATCAAACCTGGCGTGGCAATTTTCCAACGTCTTTCCTGCCAAGCCGGTTACACGAATAAACCACGACTCCGTTGGATCGAAGACTTAGTCAGTATTCGATTGGAAATGACCGCTTGGGTTGGTCTACTTAGGGGTTTCGTGTATCCACTTTCTGTCGGTATCGACTTCTGGACAAATGCGACGACCTAGTTTTGAATGAATGAATGATCAAAATTCATGTTAAACCTACCTACCTACCTGTGAATATGATGAGCACCCAAACTTCAATGCTATATAGCTTGACAGCTTGCTGAGGAGACTTTTTTCCGTTTTCAGAGTTACACTACTAGGCTCAAATGCATGCTTGAAACTCTGTTTCAACTCATTTTGCATACTTGCGTTCGTATTTTCTGATCATTATGAGAGTCTTACTCAGTGCGGGGGCGAGATGGCCCAAGTGGTTAGAGCGCGAATTTACCGACCGAAAGGTCCGTGGTTCGAATCCCTCCACTTCCACTCGACTTCCCCTGCCTAGTACATGGCGACCTGGCAGTATCCCAGCCCTCGTGCTTCCTCCGGGTGGCATGGCAGCTAGGCACCGGAAGGGTGTTACAGCTGAACGATTATTATTATTTTTTATTATTTTTTTACTCAGTGTTGGAACACATGTTGTCATAGAAAGCTCGATAAAAAACAGTAGAGTTTCAAGCTATCTAACAGAGAATATCGTCAACACGTTTCGAATCGGGTGACTCACTTTGAAGAATCCCTTGCATCCTTCACAGGTTCGCACTCCGTAGTGTTGACAAGCAGCGCTGTCTCCGCAGACAAGGCACTGCTGGTTGAAATCCACATCGATTTGCTTGACGGACATCATACCGGAAGAGGTTGGAAAAGTCGGGACCTTGCAGCTCATAGCTCGGGGAAGGGCAGGTGAACTGGTCAGCGGGTCAGAAGATGAACTATCACTGGTCATGTGTCGTTGTTGTTCAATCGGGCTGGTCACACTGGATGGTCGTCGGTAGGTCAGAGAACTCAAATTGTAAGCAAGACGATGTTTTGCGTCGAAATCAATATAGTATGGGGGGAAATCTTGTGAAGGTTGTGAACTGGGCAAATGAAGGGAAAAGTCTACTGGTGGAAGTGCATTGCGTGAGGCAGTGTCGGAATGCTGCGCGTTGGATGTGCAGTAACGAGATTGTAGAGCCTGCATCCCATGTTCCAACTCAGTGCGATTCGATAGATAGCGTTGTAGATGGGGCAGTTCGCCCAACTCAGAATGATAACTGGTAGATTCGCTGTCCGAAGAGGGCTTAGAAATGTCTGATTCATAATGTCGAGAAGGTTTCGTATCTGTGTAACAATGATTTACAGTCCTTTCGCCGTTGAATGAACGAAAATGCTCTTTTGGCAAGTCCAAGTGAGCACCGACATCTTCATACAATGATTCGGACGAATAGGGAAAAAGGTGAGGGGCTTTGGTGGAACACTGTTCGTCCAGTTGGTTTTCCATAAAATGGTGTAAAACTTGTGCGTCGGAGGCATGGCCTTCTCGTTGAAGGTAGCTAGCCAACAGAGCTTGCTGCGCTGCCAGGTAAGATGCATCCACTCGAGACTGATGCGACTCGTTGTAAATGGTCGCAGGGAAAATGGATGCGGAGAGATAAGACAGAGGACTTAGAGTAAACCGATCGTGAATATGTTCCAGCCCAGGGGCGGGAGAGGGAGCATCCCAACTGGGTTCTTGCCTAACCGAATCTGTTGGATAGTAACTTGGGGGCCTGGGCTCATTGGCATAGTTTAGAGGGGCGTACAACAGATTTGTTGATGTTGTCGTTACGTGTTTGTCAGAGTAGTCTGACAGTGTTGCTTGTTTACGTGCTAAATCATTGGAGATGTCATGTGGGGTGTTTGAAATTCTGGAATTGATTGGATTATTGGCTGAGAATGTTTGACTAGATGCAGAGTGCCACACAGATTCCGGATCCATGTTGGATAGATCATGCGTGTGAAACAGCTCATCTGGACAGGTTGTCTTTGTATACAGTCTGTTTCTGGCGAACTGTTTGTTATTACTCATGGTTGGGTCGTTAGGGTGCGTCCGTTCTTGTTCGTAATATGTACCTGCATGTGAAGCCGTTTTAAACAGACTTTCCGACCGGTTTGAATTGAATGCACTCCTTCCCACTGTCCCACTCAGTCCATTCGACTTGCTCTCTGAAACAGCCATCTTTTCGACCTGTTCACTACTAGCGCAGTCTGTCTGTAACACCGAGTGGCAGTGCGGTTCATCATGTGCCTGCTGCTTCATGCGGGCATCGCTATTCTGTTCAGAATTAGCCGTCTTATTCGACGATACCCGTGGTGATCCGGAGAAGTGTGGAGAAGTGTTTCCCGGGTTGACAAACAGGCGATCGTTACTCAAAAGATCAGAGTCTTTCTCCACTGTACTCTGTACCACTGCATTACCATAGGTTCTTATTTCATTGTTCTTATCGGTTCTGTTCATCTCCATTAGATATTTGGTTTCTAGAAGTTGAAAGTTATTCATTCTCTCGTCACATGCTACATAGTTACCTTTTGATCCGGTGTTGTTCAAAAATGTGGTATAATCATGATTGTTTCTCAGGAGCGATTCCGTTTCAACGCAGGACTGTATTTTTTGGAAGGAATGAGTAAACTCCTTGCTCATGTCATGCCCAAAGTTACTGGACGTGGGTTCCACATAGTACACTGTTTGAGCAGGATCTCTAACTGACATCATATCTCCCTTCGTGTGGAAATACGGTTGACTCTTTTCCACAGAATCCACTGTGGAACAAGTGGATTTTTCGGCTACTGCATCCTGGTGCAGTTGTTGTTGTTGTTGCTGGTGATCTCGACCCAAGCTAGGCGGTCTGTTTCGATCTGCGTCTCCGACAGAAGCACAGACCATTGCAGCAGCTGCTACGGCCGCCACTTGCGACAGCGCATTGGACCAGCGTGGACATTCGGCAGTCGGCTGACTGTGAGATACCGATTCAAAACTGGCATCTGCATAATGGGCCACTGTTCCACTCGGGTACTCATCGTCGAAATTGTAAACTGGCTTGTACGCAGAAAGAACGCCTTGTCTTGGATGCGGTTCCTGATATTGCGGAGCAGATGTGGATCCAGTTGACTTTTGAATACGATGTTCATGTTCCGTGTCGCTCTCATCCAGTTCATTTTTGAATAGACTCATCCTGTTCCCCGTGCGTCTTTTTGATGTCTGAAACGTCTCGAATGGGGTCATCCTGGTCGATGCGTCTGAATATGCTGAGGAATTGTCCATCTCGCCAAATGGCTTTGGAATACCTCCGGCTGTGGAACACATGGTGGCAGAAAATGTACTTGATTCTGTTATATCACAGTTGGGCTTGAGGAGGGCTGAATTTGGAACCAGCATCTGGTGTCTCGCGGGACTGGGTCACCTCGGTGGACGGTGCGTACGAAGCCGACTCATTCTGGAAAGTGATTTGGAGGGAAACTCCATGAGATTACAATCAACTCTCATTGAAATAACGTTTACCGAACCTTGGCGATTTTGCCAGGGACATCTGGTATCCTAAAAGCTTCATAACTCGGCAATCCCAAAACAAACTAAGCGTTTTCCGAAGCCCCGGTACCTTGAGTGATATTTTATAAAGCATTGCAAACTGCATACTTGGACGTTATACATGATAGCTGTGTGAAAAATGATACATCAGAACTAATCGCAGCGTTTCTCATAAAGGAAACTCCTCGATAGCCCACGACCGGTTTCGCCCTTTTTGGGGCGAAACAACGATATCTCGAGTGCAGATGTGGATCCAGTTGACTTTTGAATACGATGTTCATGTTCCGTGTCGCTCTCATCCAGTTCATTTTTGAATAGACTCATCCTGTTCCCCGTGCGTCTTTTTGATGTCTGAAACGTCTCGAATGGGGTCATCCTGGTCGATGCGTCTGAATATGCTGAGGAATTGTCCATCTCGCCAAATGGCTTTGGAATACCTCCGGCTGTGGAACACATGGTGGCAGAAAATGTACTTGATTCTGTTATATCACAGTTGGGCTTGAGGAGGGCTGAATTTGGAACCAGCATCTGGTGTCTCGCGGGACTGGGTCACCTCGGTGGACGGTGCGTACGAAGCCGACTCATTCTGGAAAGTGATTTGGAGGGAAACTCCATGAGATTACAATCAACTCTCATTGAAATAACGTTTACCGAACCTTGGCGATTTTGCCAGGGACATCTGGTATCCTAAAAGCTTCATAACTCGGCAATCCCAAAACAAACTAAGCGTTTTCCGAAGCCCCGGTACCTTGAGTGATATTTTATAAAGCATTGCAAACTGCATACTTGGACGTTATACATGATAGCTGTGTGAAAAATGATACATCAGAACTAATCGCAGCGTTTCTCATAAAGGAAACTCCTCGATAGCCCACGACCGGTTTCGCCCTTTTTGGGGCGAAACAACGATATCTCGAGTATCGTGCCAACAGAAACACGCGACGGCCTGTGTGCAGCACATTCAGTTGTAAGATATCACAAACGAGAGATTCAGTTGAGTCTCTCGTGAAAACCAAACTGATTTGCAAATGAGTGCATTTCTCGAAAACAGTCCAATTTGGGTTCAGCTAGCTCATAAGGTTGACGGAAACTCAAGGACTGCGCTGCGCCTACCTGATGAGCCCCAAGAAGGGCGAAACCGGTCCTGGGCTGTCGAAGAGTTCGCAGCAACCTTGTGAGTAGTTTCCTGTATGAAAATATACTGCGATATCTCGAATATCGTGCAACTGAAACATGAAGCGGCCTGTGTGCAGCACATTCAGTTGTAGAATATCATAAAAGAGAGATTCAGTTGAGTCTCTCGTGAGAACCAAACCGATTTGCAAATGAGTGTGTTTCTCACTGACAAGTTTGTCGCTCATTTCATGTAAGACAGATGCTAGGAAACTGGAAGTGTGACCGACAATTTTGACTATCGTTTTTAGCAGTCCCTTAAACATTTGATTTAGGAACGGCTGGGATTCGGTCCCCTATATATTACAAAAGAAATCACGTGAATATTCTGTCATGTGATGATTTAAGGCACCTTCTTTAGAATCACAACCAGTGAATGCATTTTTTTGATTTTTTAACCGAGATTTGGAAGATTCGGTGAGGAAAGAGCGCTATACAATACCCAGTACCTTGGCTTTTGCAGAGTTCACAGACTAACCAGGTGTTATGGCTTGCTGGCTACTTATAGTTGGCAGCTTTTATACTCCAAATTCCCCCCACTGTACGTAATGTCTTGGTAAAGTGTGATTTCTCAAACCAGGCTAGTTCAAATATTCGGAAATTGCTGCTCAATATCTTTGGGGAAAAACATAAGGCATCGTCGAGAACTAAAACAGAATATTCATTGCTTTGTTATTGCGATTCGACTGGTAACTGATCACGCCAACTTAAACTATGATAGCCGCGGGTGTAGCCCCTGTATTAGTTCAAACAATGTCAGATTTAAAGCCTCTCATCTGGCGCCTGCTCTTCCCTCTGAAACACAGCACATTTCTTCAACGGTACGCGCCTCGACGAGAGTTTTGCCTTTGAAAAAAGTAAATGGAGAGAAGCACGACCTTAAATAGCTTGCCTCGGATGAACTACGGTGCTTACGGCAGGGGGCTAGAAAGATACCGATGTATCGTGCAATGTTCCAAACTGCTTTTCGGTTTCGTTGCCATTAATGTGCGTTTCATTCTTGATAGGTCCAAAAAAACGGCTCTTCTCACGCATCCTAAGCCTGTCAGCGTTAGCTGTCTAATACTAGGAGAGTGTTCTGACGGCAGTGCTAACGAGAGGGGACCACATTTAAGAAGAGTAGCTAGGCAGTAGCCCAAAACCTTCGTTCAACGGCAAATTTTGACCAAAAAATCGAATACAGGTCGGACAGCAAAAGTTTCACACTGTTAAAAGCTCCGAAAAGATTGTCTTACAGCGATGCAACAGAATAGGGCATAAAATCTGGACGAACTATACTAGCGTTGATGTGATCTTGCACTCCCAAAAATGTGTCACATTTTTTGTATGTGTTGAGGTAAACTCTCAGCGGTGTCGCTAGTGTTCTCCCTCCGGAAAACAAAATTAATTGGTATCGGGATGCAACGCAGTAATTTTCACTTTACCCTCGATTCCCGATGGACTGTATTAGATCAACGGTGAACAATCATTCGATTCGCTGAATAGGGGTATTTCGAAAGGCCTAGCAAAGTTTTCTCACTATCGATGTTTTGCTCTTTTAGAGTGACAGTTGTCCAAAAAATTCACGGTCTCGACCAAAAAAAGGCTTCTCCTGAAGGAGGATGCCTGAAAAATCTCCGGGGACCCACCAAAGGATCCACGGAAGTCCACTTCGGGATCATCAGCTAGGTTGACTCATCGTCAACCGTACGTCTTACTTGAACCCAAGTTGTGCGCATTTCGCGAAACACACTCGTTTGGCTTTAATGGGAGAGTGAACCGAATTCCTGTAGAATTTCTGCTTCATGACAGTCTTCAACTGAGTGTGCCTCTGAATTTCCAGAGAACCTCAAAGCTGTGGGCACTTTTACTGAACGAGAGTCATGTGTGCCAGTCACGTGTGGAAACAGATTGAAACTAAAAATGTATATCTTGCGTTGGGAATGATGCGCGGCATACTCCTAGTTTACGGGAACTAGCTATTTGTTGTGTATTATTGATTATTATGTATATTATTGATATAATATTGATTTCTGCTTAGTCTTCCCAAATGAGGATAAAGAGATCGCGATTTGATGCCACATCATTATTTGAGTTGAGTCATCTTGAACAAACCTGAATCACAGAAGTTTTCGAAAGTCTTCACTCACGCTACGAGCATCCATAAACTCTGGAGTTGCAGTTGGTTTGATCGAGGAAATACCGATAATCGGTTGAGCAAAAGGTAACTTGCACTATTTGTTTGTATTCGCTGGTAATAGCGTGTCTGTGTAGCTTAGCCCGATTACAATAACCCCTGTAAACCTCAGTACCACTGATCATAACTGATTCTTACAAATTACATCCATATTTCGCCAAATTTGGGGTCTTTTCCAGATACGCCCCGCCAAAAAATTAACCCCCGCCACCCAAAAGAGATTACACCTGGGCTGCCATAACCGTTGGAGTATGCAGAATCCGCAAGGCACAAACTTCATGAAGAAAGTTCTTTCAGCTAACAACGGTTGTGTAGCTTTCGGTATGATTAACCGTTTCGGTACCTTTTTGCCAAAATTTTGGACCAGCAATAAATGCATAGAATTACTGTCCTAAACTCCATCCTAGATCACTCCAGCCAGGTTCTCTTTCGAAGACCGATTTCTTACCGACACTGTCCGGTATTACACCACCTGTCAGAAACAGTTGAAAGTGTCATTTGGTGGCCAGTGGTGCATAAACGTTACTGATGGATCACTCCATGGCTTTGCAAAAAACCTATTGCCGTCTGCTTGTCATGAACGAGAGTTGGAAGCATCAGAAAGTTCACTTGAGGTTTTACCTCCGAACGGATAGAATTTTTGCATAAAATGAGCCTAGATGGGGATAAGGGATTGTTTTCATCAAAAATAAGCCGAGGTTGTGTGTGTACAAAAAACGGTGGGGTTTAACTTTTCGCACATGAACTTTTTGCATTAGTGGCGGTGCTTATCTGGAAAAGATCCCAAAATTGTTCACGAAGAAACGCACGTAGGCTGTCAAACAAAGGTGGACGTTTGTTCGTTTATCGGGATCACTATGTTCTTACCTATTTCAGACGTGAACCTCTCACTAAAGTCCTGTTGCCAGCTTGTTAGGTCGAACGTGTACTCTACTTGACAGCAGTGGTCACTGAGCACTAAACAGGTCAGACTTATGCATAACTTGTTCCGTTTTATCCCAGTCGTCATGCACAGGCTTCAGCGTGTCACCTAACTGTCCTTTTTACTTCAAGCCATTCAGACAGCAAACCAAACTTATGTCAGTAAGTCTGAGCCATCGTTGTTTCCGAGGTAGATGAACAGTGAAACAGGCCGATTTTACCTTTGATCTCAGCCCACCGAACTAAGTACTCGTGTACCGCACAAGTGAGGACATATATACTCTATCGATCTATTCAGTTTTGACAGCTTATTGGTTTAGTCCACGAAGGACGACCGATACAAACTGGTTTCACGAACTGTTGATATTTGTTGGTCGGATGGAAGGATGCGCACCAGTATTCACTTTGGAAATTTCGCAATGAGTGGCAAAACAGTGGCCACACGAGGTTCAATCAAGGAACGATACTTTGACAGAACCTACGAGGAGAAGACCCAAGGAAGGCATAGTTCGAATGAACGAGACGAAATTGGAGCACTTTCTGAACCCCGCGCAACGATAGATTTGCTCATGGTGAAGAGGAATGCAGTCTCGTGAACTGGAATGTAGCCACGCAGGAGCGCTTGAACTAGCCCCATTAAAACTGGTGATTGCAGCCTATTTGGACTGTCTTTTTGAACGGTGTAATCCTTTCTCAAACAATAAAGAATCGCCTTCTGACAAGGATAGGAGGCTTTTGACTTTTTGCTGGTAGTGAGATCAAAACGAATGACCACTAGGTTATCATATTGAAAGTATATATTTGGCCTGTTCCAGAGCCTCTATTTTCATTTCATTATTTCTACCTCACCAAGAAGAATAAAGAAATAACGTGCGTTCTTCAACCCCAAGGAGGGTTGCATCTTTGATCATGATCCGAATCTGAATTAGAATCTCAGCAGTCTAAAGGGCTGGATTCGAACACGTGTAAAGTGTCTGCTTCGCAATCTGGCTACCAACCTCTTACAAGTTGGTCAGTCGACCAATATAGCTAGAAGATCAAACGAACTATAAATGTCACTCACGTCAGCACACGGTGCGCTCAGTTGTGGCGTGTTTCCTCTGCAAACCAGTAGGCCGCAGATTTTCTTGGGCCAAGGTGCTGCTGAGCTCTAACAAGAACGAAACTAATCACTCGTAAAATACGTTGAAAACGCACTTAGAGAAGAGGATCAGGAGAGCCCCAACGATACTGGTTACGATATTGAATCAACATACTCACTTTTAATAATTGAAGAAATTACACCACCAACCAATCAAACAACAAAGAGGTCGACGACGACGAAATACAGATCAAGAACAGACCAACCGAAAAAGAGAATAAGGGACGATAATTTCAACAGTAGTTGGACGGCAGAAAGCAAAAATACAAACCACAGCGCAACACAGATTATGATTGGACCAACCAGAATCCAAGTGCGATGACTATGAATGACCAATCAGGTTACAGCTCAGACCTTTTGTTTGTAAGCTATAAAAACGCATGCTTGAAGACAGGAACTACCCGCCTAACAGCGCACTGAGAATGCCTCCTCGAACAGTGACGAAGCGTTTGAAAATCAACTACCAACCTCAGCAAACAGATCAACAGCCACTCGATCAGTTTCCAATTAATGCACCCAAGCTACCAATATCCCAACTCATTATCAACATTATAATCTCTGTTACTAGTGAAATTGAGGAGAATGATCTTTCGAAAATTTTGGGCTTCGTCGAGATAACCGCGCAACTAGAGCTGTGTGAGTTCATGCATCCTAGTTGTTATTTGATACTTAGGCGTCACAAGTTTTCATAAGGATAATACCATAAAAAACATCACTTCGATTACTCTCAAGTCTCAGTTAGGTTAATTATGCACACGAATTTGTCGAACACTATTTGAAATGCCAAGGCATACAGCAAGCCGAAGGCATAAATCGTTGCACTCGTCTGGGATTATGCCCCGATCTTGTCGCTGCATGTGAATACTGGGCAGAGATTTATGTTCTGTCATTCTGTTCATCGCAACCTTCCTCGGAGAAATGACTCGCTGTTTGCTTGATTGACTGTCTAGTATGTGGTTGTCGTTCGAAGCCAGGTTGTTTCTACCCTAATGGTTGACAGCCAGCTTCCGTCAGTTCAGCGATGCGAAAACATCCCTCAGCTTATGTTTGGTTCAATCATTCTGATGTCTTGTCAAAAACCAGCTAGGTGCTGGTGTGTTGCTTAACTCGACTAGTTTGTAGAACAGATCGATAGGAACACCTCTAAATGGTTTAGAATGCACGGAAAGTGAGTGAAATCCCCAAACGGGCTATCTGCACATTTTTGGCTCTTTTTCGGTTCAACCTTGGGAAGCCTGATGTACTATTAAGGATGTATTCATTGCCGAAAAAAGAAAGAATAGATCTCTTGAAGTTTGCGTAATTGGCATCCAGCTACCCATCGAAAATGGTAACCCTCTTTATGGAAAATGAGCCAATTACCAGATTGAGAGTTGGACTCTCCTTGACTTGGAACGTCGCACACGACTTTTTGGCTTTCCCGAACTCTTCAGATTTTTACGCATTGGCATGATACGTTTGTTTGTCGTGTGCCCTGTGTTCATTGTGAATATGTGTCAGTAACTGGCTGTATAATTTACGATTCCCTTTGGTCACCAAAAAGGAACTGATAATTGCCGTTTTTGACCGGGCATACGTCTTCTAAATCAATAACCCAAGCTGTATGATATGTTATGCACTCTACAAATCCGTTCTAGTCAGATGACCTTTTTACCGTCGCGTTCGAAAGGTGCTCATTACAGATGGAAACATACATACATACAACATACGAGCTGTCCAAACTGGTGACAACAAGATCTCCGAGACCAATAATTCAGAAGTCGATATTTCTGTTGAAGTCATCCTGATTAAGGCTATGGAATCCAATTTACTTGAAGTCAAATGTTTTTTGGTTCGATCCGTTCGATCAAAGACTTTAAGGGAGTTCAGGTGGATGCGTATTAGGAGAACCCGGTCCGAACTACATAACAGCCAGTGGAATAACCGCTTTTCGTTGAGACAAGTTTCAATTTCATTGGTTGTTCTTCACTCGCCCTTGACAGATGGGTTGTATTCTTAGTACGCGACATTGATCAATAGAGCAGCTGGCTCGCATGTTCGCTGGCCAAGCGCACTAGGCTATCAATCGGCTATCCATACCGGGGTTCACGGTAATAAGAAGACTATGGTCCACAGCAATGAGAAGTGCTCTCGCTCATTCAAGATATACAGTGGCACTTAGGTAATTCATTACAATGCCCAAAAGTAGCAAATCCACCTCAAGTGCGATCAGGTGATTGGTTACGTTTCACGCGATCCACCTGCACACGTGTTTACCACTTAGTACCTACATTTCTTCTCAGTAGTATGTTGGACTCATATGTTAGACTAATATGTCCCTTTTGATTTTGTCTGCCACTCAGAGAGGAGGGTTTGTTGGCAAAACGGTAAAAAGTTGGGGACTTTTACTTGTGTTAAAAAGCGGCCTTTCTATTCGCCTAGTACCTACCAGCGTAACGATGGATACTACTGGTGAGACATGCGAGTAACACGTTTTCTCGCAAGTTCGCTTTCTGTCTACTCGGAAGTGGGATTTATTACGAGATTTGAGGACTTGCTTTGTGGCATTGGAACTTTCAACAGTGATAGGCTGTGACAGAAATAACCAAGCAGTTGTGAACTGCATAGAAGAATTCAGTAAAAATGGTTGACAAATCCCTCAGACGACTGAACTGGAATATGGAGGCAGAACAATAAACCAGAAAGGGTGTTTGCGTGTGAGGCAGGGATTGACAAAAAATCAAGAGGACAGAGAGAACCTGAGCAGGTAAGATGAGGGGAATGAATTGGACCCTGCTTTTAGCGTGTGTAAGTCAACAGTCAGCCACCTGAAATCTCATAAAAGCTTTCCCCAAACCAGACTCTGTATTTCAATGAACCCACTGTTGCGGCGCATTTTAAGACAAGACAAGTCATCTGCCACAGGTTTACCGGTTTATTTGTCAGCTTTCCCGAACATAAGCTTTGACAGTTTTTTTTCGGATACGTTCACCGACAGGAGAGAGAATAGTCTAAGCCCTAGTTCCGCAGTTCCCTAGGTTTCAAGCCTTTGAACTAGGGGGGGAGGGAGAACATAAGCCGCTTAGATTATGATAAAAGTTGTGCCCATAGTTTCACCATCTTCAAACATCCAAAGACGCAAAGGAAAGTCCACTCGATCAAATCTAATACGCAGGAACGATCGGATCTAAGCCGTGAACGAAAGTTGACAGCACAATTGTCGTTTTCTGATAAGCTGTGTTTTTTTGTCTTTACCACGACCGCACTGTGAATAAGCTGGGTTGGTAGTCAAAACACACTTAGATTCAGCCTGTGAAACGTTTGTTTGTTTACCGGCAATGATGATACAACCAGAATTAACCACCGTCATATATGTTGTGCAAAGTACCTTCATTTGGCCCACCAGATTAGCAAGTCACAGACGGAAAAAATGTCGGTCCGATCAGCGGAGTATAGCTTGCCTATTCTGACAAACTTAAATGATATCAACATGAGTAAAGTTTCCGTCCAGCCTGGCTGAACATTGTTCTCAGTCATGTGACTACTTCTCAGCTATTTTGTTGGCTTAGTTCGGTATCGATCCTTGAGTGGGATGGAGGCGGACATAGTTAGCACCGCAGGAAAATGGAGAAAATCGCTCATCTGGCTAGAAAATACTTCTTGAACTTGAGGAATCCACATCTCACATCTAGTAACTCGTTAATTTTTAGGAAAGACGTTAACGCATTCATCGAAACTTGTGATTAGCTGAACATTCAGCAGTGGAAGAGTGAGTAAAGTTCACGACGGATCCTTCCATACTGCTCACATGGTTCAATTTTGCAGCACCATTGCTTACTTCAATAGTACAACCATTTGTATCTTTGTAATGTACTACTCACAAGGTTGCTGAAAGTCCGTCGATTGCCCACGACCGGTTTCGCACTTTTTGGGGCTCATCAGGTAGGGGCAGTCCCCAGGTTTCCGTCAACCTCATGTCCTACTTGAAACCAAATTGCACGAAATTAGCGAATATACATTCATTTGCTAACTATTTTGGCTTTGCGAGAGACTCACCTGGGATCCAGCTGAATCTGTCGTTTGTGATGTTCTCAGGCAGCTGAATGTGCTGCACTAGGCCGCCTCATGTTTCAGTCGCTGCATCAGAATCCACTCATCGAGTGGAAACCACTCTTTTCACGCAAACCCCACCCAGTCCCGTTGCGTAGAACTAACTTCTTCGTTATGTGCCTCCGATAAACCTACGAATCTCCTTTCCACCAGAATAACAAAAGTGTATTGACTTCCCTTTCACTGCAGCTCAGGAGATTACATATTTTCCAACTTGTTTTTGAACGAAAAAGGCGCATAGATCTCCTAACAAGGTTGGAGTTCCAATGTAATCATCTTTGTGCACAAAGTTGGAATTTTTTCACACTCAAGCAGCCAACCTTTTCCCTGAGAATAGTTTATTCTGTGTCTACCCTCCCCGAAGTTCTGCTCACTTTCAAAACAGGCGCTGAGGCGCAGATACTGCTCGGCTGATGACATTAGCTTATTATTAAGAATCTTCTACAAAGGATTTCTCATTTTTCTACTAAAATAGTCATCCTGTGAAGTTTGATCAACTGAACGGGTAGTTCAGATTCTTTCTTGACCTGTATGAGCCATCCTGAAGCAACTCCAGACAAATTATATAACTCTCTCTCTCTCTCAAACACGAAGAGACAACCCTCTTTTCCCGGTGAACACAATGAATAGGCATGCAACTCGGCCCAACACACACAAACGCGCGCGCACAGGACAGAAAGTCAACTGAGCTCCATCAGTCTCCACGGATAACCACAGAATACGTGTAGCAGCTATACTGCACAGAAGACACCTCCCGCGTCCCCGGAACTTCACTCAGGAACTCTCAACACGTGTCCTCAAACGATAAGTCACTTTCTAACTTATTCCACTTTTCGCATTTTATCTATTTTTATCACTTAAATATTGTGTTAAAAAAGACAGTTGTTAGTGTTTGTTATAATGTGTTAATCAATTTCATTACATTACAATTAGCAACTGGAGTCCGATAGGTTGAAACAGCGTATACCTAGCTCGTTTCTAAGGACACCAGCCCGAAATATCCACCAGCGATGTTGGTTTTTGCTGCAGTACACATAAATGAGACATAAAGTGGAGTATCTACATCAAATCTGTTCTTAAGAATGTATTCCTTTCATTTCTTGATATCATCTGGGAAAGTCCCATCGCCCATACCGAATATGGTTTACTACACAAATCTCCTGGATTGACGTACTGGTTTGTTTTCGCTGGTGTTACCAAGTTATTATCAACATCCCCTACTCAACCGACGTCTGTTACATTGTATTTGCGTGTATTGTGCATTTCCTTCATCCATATATGTCTAATACTGTGTATATTCCAGGACGTTACGTCCACAGCGGTACTAGAAATGCATTTCCATGACTGCCATCGTACGGAACAGACTGCTGTTTTGTGCACTCCAGATGGTGCGGGCTCATAGGCGACACTTCACAAATGCTGTTATGTTTACCGCCAGTTAGAAACTCGCCGTTCTGTTTCTGTTGTGATCTTTTTCCTTCGGACAGCGTGACTAGCATTCATTTGAATGGAGCATACTGCATGTGATATTACCTATTAAGCATGAA